TAAACATTCAACATATATGGTGGTTTGAATTTTTATCATCAAAAGTGATGTTTTGTCTAAAAAAAAATGTTTCCTTTATTTTGAAGGATTGTTAAGCAATTATCTATTGAATTTTAACGGAATCGCATTTGAAAAATTATACTATTTTTAAGATTTTGAAATAATCCATCCGCATAAAAAAAATTCATTTGTGAGTTCATCCCTAAAACTGATAGATAAATTTGTAATGGACCAAATTATTTACGAATAATGATCTACTGTAAATCAAAAACAGTTGAACTACGTACTCCATCAAGTAGACTCGTCATCAAAAAATAGGTAGGTAAGTAAGTAAGTAGGTAAGTAGTGAGTGGGTCTTTTCGACTCTCCAGTGCAACCCTTAAGGGTTTATCGTGGCTCTCGCCTATTCAAACTCGACCAAATAAATCCAGCTTCTCATCGAAGCCGATTACTTTATTGGGAGAGTGATCTTTCCGATCAGCTAGCAAGAGTGGAAGTCTACCAAACGCTAAAAACCTTATCCGGTTCACGACGATGCTGCAAAAAAGTACGTGCCAATCTAATGAGGACCTGATCGACACCCGGAGCCGGAGATTAAGATAAAAAAACAAAAAGGAATATCTCTTGATCCAATAGAAATATCGATGTCGGTCCGACGGCATTCTCTAGCTGAAATGATGTAGAATACAGGAAAACAATGAAAGCTCTGTACCTATATTTGATTCCCTCACCTTCAATTTCAACACCAAACTTCAATTTTGTTCAATTTTTCTCACGAAACGTGAACATTTGTCAAAATGCGATTTTTTTTCAAATTACATACTTCTTGGACCAACGTTGGATAACGAGATATTTTTTTTGATTTTTTTTAGTTCATTTAGTGCGGTCACTACTTTCGTCAGGTAGGAAAGCTGTACAAATGCTTGGGAAATACGTCTTCTGCGATATTTTAGGAAGACGCTCTCCCATGGATGCAGGATACTAACTGCATCCACCAGCCAGAACAAGGTCTCTTGATTCTCTTATGTAATCTGAAGCCGAACAGGAATTCCAGTTAATTGGTGGACTTTGAGGTTGTTGGATGTTCAAGGTGCAAGGCTCCCATCTTAACGACACAACAATCTCCCCATATGAGGGTATTTATAAGTGTGATGATACATTAGAATCAGCTATGCAGCTCTTTTCCGCCTCCGGTTTTTTTGAGTCTAAGTGTTGCCGACCTGCTCAGGGGAGAAGTTTGTTCCCTCACTTGTTGAATATTACTGGAGTTTTTACCCAACACCAAATCGCTATTTTTAACACCTTGACACGTGTTTTCGAAGTGATCGAAACACGTGTCGAGGTGTCAAAAATAGCGATTTGGGGTTGGGAAAGAACACCTCGACACGTGTTCCGATCATCTTCATCATCTTCAAGAGGAAGATTAAAGTTTAATCTTTCTCTTGAGGAAGATTAAACTTTAATCTTTCTCTTGAAGATGATTACTTGGTGATCGAAACACGTGTCGAGGTGTTGAAAATAGCGATTTGGTGTTGGGAAAAAACTCCAGTAATATTCATTACTACACCAAAGGTTCCAAACGGTGCATCATAAACCCTCACTTGTTGCAAATTCTGCTTCTGTTACTTAAGAGTTTGATCCAAGGCAGATTCATAACATATATTGACCTTGAGGAGGAGATACGTTACATCCTGGCTGTATCGCCTAACCTCCTAGGAATATTGAGAAGTGCTTGTTCTTTACGTCGTTTACTCGATGTTCAGCTCCTCTATAGATTCAAGATATCGAAATATTTGGTTTCATGTTTCATGAAGGGTCCTACGAATATCTATGTAGTTTTATTAGGTTTAGAAATAGTTTTTACAGACAACTAATGAAGATATTCACGAAATCGAATCGAATCGTATAATAGAGGGCCTGGCACAACTACTGAAATACTTTTGAAATGTTGAGTTTGAAATTAACTCAATTCACCACCACTGTAATCTGCATTCTGTTGGAGAGAGTATGTTCTAGCCACTGTTTCAGTTTTTAACTACAATTGATTTGTTCAGGGGCCCATAGTTTCAGTCTCTTTGAAAGTAAACGAACGCACCTCAAAGTATAGGATAATTCTTAACGATATTTAGTTGAACGTATTCAAAAAGTTCAACCATTTTAAATCTGGAAGTCAATGACCAAATTTGCCCAACAGACGCATTCTTTCTATAAGAACGCAACACAAATATACAAACATGACTAAATACAATAATGACTGAAACTAAAATAGCTTCAGAGAATAGTATCAATTACATGAAAGGCATTTAGGAAGGTAATTCTTCAAGTGAAGTTTGAGAGGAATGTTATTTGTTTCTTTAATAGATTTTCAATGTACTTTTTTGAGTACTCGTAACGAAATATATTTGAATATCACAACACAGGAAAATTGTATTGGTAACTGGTATTATAAAACAGTAACATTGAAAATAATCTATTCTTAGTCTCATAAAAACAACACTTAATTGAGTATTGAAATGCCAGCTGAGATGGACCCAAGATGTTATTAAAAATTCTATAAACAAATTATCTATAATGATCTATACATTTGAAACATTTTCAACTCACCTTCGGTTAGAACAGAACTGGCAACAAATTCATTTAACGAGATTATTCTGTATGATAACAAAGTTGAAACATATAATTCATCCTAATCATTTTCAAAACGTTTCTATAATACTGTTCCTTTCTAGTCTACGAAATTATGCACAAATGGCTTGGAAAATTATTCAGAAAAAACTGAGGTGTCCACATGAAAAATTTGAGTGCTGACTGTTTTCAAATGACTATAACTATAGGAAGTTTTACGATAATTTCGAAATATTGATCTCGTGTCTGTGAACCATATCAGTGCATGGATATGATTTTCAAAACTTCTAAAACTACTGATAATTCTGCGTTAAATTTATGTAACCCTGTATACAGCCGCATCCTTTAATTTGACTGAAGCGCTAGTAATACTAGAACTACTCAGTTTCATTTGTAGAAGGAAAGTACATTTCAAAATTTCAAGTAGTTTGAATACTTGACAGCTCTGATGGTTTGTTCATTTCGGAACACAGGGAAATTATTCGTATCATTCTCAATTTTTTCAAGAACAAAAGCACTACAGGAAAATCCTTATGGTGCTCTAAGAGCGGTGCCTGTGCGAAAGTAACGATTCAGGAAGTTTATTCCACACAAACACAGTTCTCCAAATAAAAGAGTTCTTGAACAGTGAAGTTCGAGGTGTACTGAGTTGAACCTCATGACGATGAGCAGCCACAGTCGCGTATTTCTGATATGTACCGCTCTTGGTGTCAAGTCACCTAAACACTTCCCGCGAAAGTATCTATAGAAGAGCGACAAGTCTCCAACCTTTCTTCGATGTTCCAGGCTATCGAGGTTGCACGTGATGTTCGCGTCTCCAATCAGGCGGATGGCTCTTTTCTGGATGCTTCATCTATTTTTGAAAATCGATTGTATTCAAATAAAAAAGCATCTTTCATTGGACATCAATTCTTTAAATTCTTCAGACAAAAACATAACAGCAATGAATAGAACAGGAGAGAAAATGAAAAGAGAAATAAAGGACAGGGAGGAAAGCGAGAGAATGAAAAATAAACTGGTAATAGAAAGAAGCAATAAGAAACTCAAAAACTAAAAGGAAATAAACAACGGCCTTAGATCTGCCTCTGCAAGGTTATTCACAGGAAATATTGTCGGTTCCGGAAAATAGCCAGAATAATTATCAAATATTGTATAAGTTCTGGAACTGCGATGTGGATAACAATCCTTGAAGCAGTTATACCAGAGCCATCAGGAACAGTGATCTACAACCATAGAAAACCTTGCAGAAGTAAATTTACGGCGGATAACGAAAGGCGAATTATGCTAGCCTACTCCCAAGCTCCATGGTATGTTGGGGAGCAGACCTTCATCGACGGGTTGCTACATTAGAATAAGCGCATCAAGATAGTTGAAAATTGGAAGATAATTAATATGTACAATAATGAGAACATGACATTCCATTTTATCTATGTACACAGTTACAGTGATCGCAAACAGTAAAATAAGGGAAAATTCGAATAGAGGCAGAACCTTGTTCAGGTCCAGGGGAAGTCAGATGCATGCCAATCGAGAATCACCGCGAAATGAAGTATGTAAATGATTTTTGTGAAATGTGGAACATACTGTTTAGAATGAAAGTATGTTCATTATAAATGACTTCTTTTTTCCTAGCAGAAAAATTTGCAATTTCATACAGTGTGACCTTTTCAAAATGAAAGACTTTTATTATTTATCATTGTCAAAATTTGAAAAAAAATAGCGTTGCTTTTTTCAAAAAAATCTGACCAAACAACTGGATTCACATAGTTTTGAAATGGTTTTTGTCAAAATCACGTCGAAATGCGTTCGTTATTAAAAAGTTATAAGAAAATAAAATTCGAATATTGATCAATTCAATTATTGCAGATAGTTTGAGAAATACGTCGTATGATGTCGTTCAATATGTCTAGTAATTTTTTAGCCTTCAACAGATTTCGATCAAATTCCTCAGTAAACTCCGCATAAATCATGTCAAAACTACCTGAATCCAGTGGTATGGGTCAGTTGAAAAACATTAAATTTTTTCGATTTTTGATAATGAAAAATGATGAAAGTTGACCCTGAAAACGAAGGCTCATCCATGAAAATTTGTTTTCTAATAGATTTTTTGAATATAGACGCAATGAAAATGAAAATTATTTCAATCGGTTCCATCAGTTTATTTATTTTCAATTAAAAATAAATGTTTATTTTGCAATTTTCATAACAATTGGTAATCACCTGAAAACGTCTGTCGAAAAAAATCACGGCGATCATAAATAATGATATTGAAGAAACTGTATGCTCTCATATCATGAATTTTGTAAGTTTAACATACCAATCGATATATAGAGAAATAAGTTGCTAATTGAAGAAATATGTATTTTAGGACATACCTCGCATAGTGTATCAAAATATGATCTTGTTGTGATCTGAAACAAAAAAAACAGTTACTACTAGTTCATAGACAGCCACCAATGAAATAAAGTTACATCCGTAATTTTGAAAGCATACATCCGCCAATCGCAAAGATAAATATCATGAAACATTTTTTGTATCCTGTATACCTATAGTACTAGAGTTCTAATAACTCTGTACCCAGGAATCCAGATCATCAAAAGGTCAATTTTGTATTCTATTCAAGACGGGGATGAATAAAGGGATGAATATAATGAGTGAGTATTAAAAAAGTAGTAGAAGCTGATAAAGATTGATATTCCATTACATTTTTCGATTTCTCGGATTATTGACCATTCTGAGTGAATTCCTCAACGTTTCGCCAACACGAGTGGATGGCATCCTCAGAAATAAATAGAAGATATGTATTTACTTCTTTATCGTTCAGTTTCGGAAATTATACATGAAAAAATCAGTTTTGCATTTTTCTTCAAGGTTACCCATACGTAGACAGCTCGAGAACCATTGTAAACAATCATGATGAAATAACAAACAAGTGAACAATACCATTGAAAATGATTGTTGACTATTGTTTCACAGCCGAGTCGTAATTTGAGCAAACAAATTTTCAAAACAAAATTGTACCAGCCAGAGTATGCAGTTACCCCTCTAGGAAACATTGCCAAGAGTCAGAGAAAACGCTGGACCTCAGCCAAATTGCGAACGGTGCTCGCTCAGGAAATTATTTAGAAAAATACCTAAACGACAAGTTGGATTGCATTTCGGGGTTCTTTGTCGATTCAAAATGTTTGAAGTCCTCAACAAGATGAACACCATTGCAGGGTAACCTTCAAGGCACTCTGCTCCGAGGGCAGTGACTGTGAGACAATGAAAATTTACTTTATTTGAAGGTGATTGACAATGTTTCATTGCTTCTTTGAATTTCCTCCTGAACCAATGTTCCTCTTTGTGTATGATCTCAGCTTGGGACCATTTGATGTTATGTTGATGGGTCCAAACATGCTCTGCTATTCCTGATTTGCTGGTTTCCCCTTGCTGTGTATGTTTCTTGTGCTCGGCAATGCGAACATTCAATGGCCTCTTAGTTTCACCGATATAGGATTTTCCGCACAGGGTATCCGGTAAATGCTATTCTTGGAATCGCATTTCTCCTTGGTGGCCAGGTTTTCGTGAGGCTACTACGGATAGTGTTTCCGGACCTGAAGCAGGTTCTGATGTACTTAGATCCAATTCTTCGATAATCCTCTGATGTAGGGATGGTCAATTCTCGTCCATTGGAAGAAAAAATTGAAGCGATTCTTATTCACGGTGCGACGCATAACTTTCATGAGACTGAAAGGATTTTCAATGAAAGTTTTCCAAATCGTCCTATCTGTAGAAAATATTTGAGGGAACTTGTATCCAAATTCACAACTACCGATAGGGTACATAACAAAAAGCCACCAGGTCATCCGTCGATTCCGGAAGAACAGCAAGTGCAAATAATTGGTGAGATGGTAGTAAATTCTGAACAGTGTACTTATTCCGTCGCGAATGTTTGTGAGATGTCTTCTTCAACTGTGTGGAGACTTTTGAAAAGGCATAGGTATCAAATTAAAATGGTACACCAATTAACAAAATTCTTCGAAATAATTTCTGAAACCATTGAAAGGCATCCTACCCATCTCCACAATATTTGTTTTAGTGACGAATGTACATTTTTTCAAACGACAATGTTCACAGACAAAATTTCCGTTATTGTTTCCGGGAAACACATACCCAATATCCAGAAAAATTTAACGTTTGGGCAGGAATATTGGAAAACCATATTGTAGGACCTCTATTTATTGATCAAAATTTAACAGGGGAACTGTATTTGAATATGCTGGAAACTACTGTTGACCCTCTCATCACTGAAATCGTCGAAGCGAATCCTAATGAATTCTATATGGATATTGTATTCCAACAAGATGGAGCACTACCACATTACTTCAGACAAGTAAGAAACTATTTGGATACTACTTTTTCCGGTCGTTGAATTGGCCGTCGAGGTCCTACAGAATGGCCAGCCCGCTCGCCAGATTTAACACCTTTGGCCTTTTTTATGGGACTATTTCGAGCAAAAGGTGTACGAAACTGAACCTGCGTCAATATTGGATATACGGCAGATAATAATAAATATTTGTAGAGATATTGACGTTACTTGTTCAAAAATGTTCGGCGTGAAATATCGGATAGGCTGTTCATATGTCAAGAAGTTTAAGGCAACCATTTCGAGCATTTTCTGAACTGACCTCAAGCTTATTACCTCTTATTATGTAGTTAAATGTCAACGCATTCAGGCAAATATTGAAAGTTCCGCCAGTTGAAGATATTGACATTATATTCTAGGGTTGTGAAGCATTTTTCTGGAGCTTCAAAAAGATGTGTCACAAGACCCCCCTTTTCATTAAATTTTTTTTCCCAGATGGCGCCCAATCGCCATCTTGAAAGTTTCATCTGTCAATTTCACTTCAAAATGAAGTATTCATGCATTAATTTCATTAGGTATCATGCACTGTATATGGAAAAAACAGTCTCGGTGAGTTTATAACGCAGTAATGGCATTCCTCAAATTTGGGAAATCTGTAACAGTTAAACTGTCTTGTGCCTGTAGTAGTCAGCATCCACTTAAGTTATAGACCAGCACCATGAAATTGATTTGAATATTAATGTAACTAGAGCAAAACGTGGAATCGTGGAACGGCCCTGTACTCAGTTCGTGGCAAAAAATTCAAATGCAGCAAAAAAGCAAGTACGGTGAAGACAGAAAAGCCGCATTTTTGTCCGCTATTGGTTCGATTGTAACAGAGCTCGAACTTTCAGGAATAAGTTGATGCTCATTTTTAATTCGTTATAATTGTGAATTTGGTGGGCCATCCCACTTAATGGAGATCTATAGACATATAATGCATTTTTCCGACACGATCTAGCCAAATTAATGAGAAAGTATCCAATAACAAGTTGAAGATCAGATAATTTGATTTGGGAATATCAATTTGAAAAAGGTAGCTTATCCATATTGTCGAAGGCGAACTTCCATTAAAACCGCCAAAGAAAAGTGTTTTCAACCCCAACCAATACGGAAAGAAAATACGGTCAACTTATCAATTATGAAAACGGAATTCCTGCGACCAAGAAAACGTATTCACATCACCGCTACAGTTTACTTGTCAGTTTGCCCAAGAATTTGTTATCCAAGCCATGGATAACAAATGATATCATACGAGAAGGAAAAACGTTAGAAGACATGTTCTGGTTAATTTCTTCTAGTAACTGAACATTGTAGACCCTGATATGATGCATAATTATAGGGCAAAACTAAAAAATCACAAATTCAAAATTAAACAAGGAAAGACCAACTATTATAATGCAAAAATATATAACTCCAACAATAAAACTAAACAAGTATGGACTATCATAAATAATGAACTTGGGAAATAAACTAAAAGTAAAAATCCATCATGTATAGCTTTGAAATATAACAATCAAGATGTTATGTAACTCAATTCTATCATGCACTTTTGCCAAGAATATTGTCGTTCAAAATGAATTCGATCTCTCAGAAATTTCACCGCTTGAAGTTTTGAAAACTCTGGTATTGATGATATGTCTATTGTTACTGTGAAGCAAATTATTGATATAATTATTGAAAAATTAGTTTTTTTGCTTGACTAGTCCTTTTATGGGGGTTTCTTCCCAGATGAATTGAAGAGGGCTCTTGTTTTTCCACTGCACAAAAAAGGTCAGATAACGGAAATTGACAATTATAGGCAGATTTCGTTGATTTCCTCCTTTTCAAAACTCTTTGAGAAAATAATAGGTAAGAGAATTTTGATGTATATTGAACCTTCAAAAGAAAGCTGATATTCCACTCATAAGTTTGTGAGTTATTGTGCTAAGATTGATACTACTTTTATAATTTTCAAAACAATGGATCGAAAACGATTTCGTGTTTTATAATTTCACACTGCTTCTTGATGGGGAAAAAACTGTTCAAGCAAAGCAATGACTTGAAAAGTGTTATAAGGATTCCGGTCCATCAGAAACAACAATAAAATGTTGGTTTGCTGACTCTAAAGGTGGTCGTAGAGACACCGATTATGCGGAACGCAGTGGACGTCCAAATGAGGCAGTAACACCATGAACTTTAAGAAATCCAAAAAATCGTTTTGAATGATCCAAAAGTGAAGTTGCGTGAGTTAACTGACATTGTAAAGAACGTGTTTGCTTTATATTGCATGAGCATTTGACTAGGAGAAAGCTCTGTTCAAAGTGGGTGCCGCGCGTGCTCAATGTTGACCTAAACAGGAACGTCTTGATGATTCTGAGCAGTGTTTGACCATTTTCAAACATAACAAGCCGAAATTTTTGCGTCGATATGTGACAATGGATGGAACATGGATCCATCACTTCTCTCCGGAATGAAAACAATCGTCATCTGAGTGGAGAGCAACTTGTGAACCTCGTCCAAAGCGCCCGAAAGCACAACAATCGGCTGGAAAGGTTACGGCCTAGGTATTTTGGGATGTGCATGGTGTAATATTCATCGACTACTTGAGAAGGGAAATACCTTCAACAGTGCGTTATCGGAGCGTTTGAAAGTCGAAATTGCAAAGAATCGACCGCGTATGGCAAAGAAAAAAGAATTGTTATATCAAGACAATGCACCGTGTCACAAGTTCAATCAACATATTGGTATCCATTTTAACCCCCAACAAACTTATCGAAGCAGAAAGCGGAATTTTCTGATCTGACATTATTATATCCGGTTCGGAAACATTTGTCTTTTTGGAGAAAAACGATTCCTGGAGTGTTTGAAGGCCGAAATTGCGGAAAACGACCCCATTTGAAGAAAAAGAAAGTGCTGCTTCATCAAGACAACGTACCGTGTCATAAGTCAATGAAAAGAATGGCAAAATACATGAATGGAACTTCGAATTGCTCCCACATCCACCGTATTTGCCAGATTTGGCTCCCAGCGACTATAAGCTTT